GCCAGCTATCCAGTGCGTTGTGATTGGCCGAATACCTCAAGCGTGAGACGGAAATGTTACGCCCCTCACCATACTGTTGTATTTCCTCAGCGACCAGCACGGATCAGCTCCAGGCATGACGAAGCGGATATCGTCCTCTTTTGGAAGGCCAAATAAAGTAGTTTTGCTTTCACAACGAAACAGCGTCACACACCGCAGCCTTGAGTGAGCGGAGGCCGGAGGCCTAGAGTGAGCCGCGGCCTAGATTATGCGGAGGCCGGCTTGAGTGAGCAGAGGACGGTGGGCTTGAGAACGTTGCAACTTTACAGATCTTCTTTATGCACCAAGAGCTTGTAACACTCCAAAGAGAAAGGAACAATTGAAATCGCATCATATGACCCCTTTAAACAAACTCAGAGATAGAGAGCAAGTATCAAGGTATCCAAAGAATGATACTTTGCTTGACATCACAAATCTTTTGGATGACTGATTTGTTTTTCTTCCATTTTCTCTTTTTCAATGTTTCTTTTGGAGCCTGATCACAATCGATATTACTCTTAGTGTGTATGTCTGATGAAAACTTGATAGCCTCAGAGCACCATATTCTTTTTCTTGTGTGTCTGAGGAGGTGGAATAGTTGCCATAAAGAGTTATGACTACACTGGCTGCCACTTCATCTAGACTTTATAAAGACTTTTGTCAAGTCCATCAAAGACTGCATATGGGAGAAGAATAAAGACCCTTACTTTGTAGCTTTGTCCAACTCCATCAGGGATAAGTTCAGCACTCACCTTCAAGAGTGCCACATTATTCTTGCCTCTGTCACAGCACACTTACAAAGCTCTGCTGCAGTGCCACTATCATCCGTCTCATAGCAACTGCCTCTTTAAGCTGTCTGCATCGCCATGACATTTTAAAGCTAATACACTGATAAAACCATTTTCAGGGAAAGAAACAGCAAGCATTAGTCAAAGAAACACAGAAAGACATTCAAAGCCAGATCTTGAAAAGATAATTATTAGCATTAAAATGTTTCAGAGAAAAGCCAGCGAGAGCCCTTCAATAAGGCCAGATATGTAGTCTCAGACCCAAAACAAGAAATGAAAGGCAGAAAATGATGTGATGAAAATGATGAGACAAAAAAATGTCTCCCACAGAAGATGGTGATTATGAGGATGAGGTCATGAAGAAGAGTTGAATGAAGCTGATTCTGAAAACAACACTTTCAGTGCAATATATTAGAGAATGTTACCCAATAAGAAAAAAAATTCTGTTCATTAAAAGTCATTATTTACTCACCCTCCTGTCAACTCCAAAACCATACTTTCTTTTCATCTGTGGAACCTAGAAGGGGAAATTTTTCTCCAGGAGGAGAACGTTCCTCTTTTCCATGCAATTGCAATGCAATTTAAAACTACCAAAAATTATGATAAGCCCTATGTGTTGTATTCACTATAAGATACAGAACAATTTTGAAATTTAAGTTATTAAATTAAAATCTTGTCATGTGCTCTAGGTGTATTCTTGAGAAAAGTAGATTCAAAGATTCAAATAGGTTTTATGGTAAATTTCAATCTGTTCCTGCGTATTGCTTTTTAAGACTTGAATCAAAGCATATATACATATTGGAGCACCATTATGGTAATTTTATTGTGCTTTTGCATATTTTAGAAAGCTTGAAAGCTTCAGTTCCCATTCAGTGAAACAAGAAGAAAAAAAAAAACGGATTTTTTTCTTATGTTCAGAAGAAAGAAATTGATGGTTTGACATCAAGTACATAATTTCATTTTTGAGTGAACTGTTCCTGTAAGTCATATTTTTGTTTTTAGTCACAAACATATTTCAGCTTAACTATGTAAATCTAAGTAAAATATCTAAATGTTATAGCAGTGGAGAGTGGGGTAAGACAGTCAGTGGATAAGATGCACCATGATTGTAAACTGACCATCTGACTGAATCTGATTCAAACCCATGTGAAATTTTAAAGATAAATTTACCTCTTTTAAAAACTAATTTAATTATCAATTTTCCTTTTACAGTCAAATTTTTTTTTATTTTTTAAAGCTAACCTAAAAAATATAAGACCAACCAAAACAAGGTTAGATTTGAATCTTTAATTGTTCACATTTCTGAAACAATGTTGAACACCAAATTTGTAACCTTTCCCAAAAACAGACTAAACAGAGTTTGTTGAGTAAAATTAAATAAAAAAATGATTTAGAGTGAAGGAATAAATGTCACTGAAACGTATAAACATTTTAGTTTAAAGATTATTGGCATGGTAGCTTTTCTGCAAATGTTTAACAGGCCATTAGGGGCTACAGGTGGAAAGATATATCTGATTATAATGTGATAAAAAGCATCTTCTGGTTCTTATCAGAGAAGGATTTTGTGCACTTGTACACTGTTCAGATAAGCTACAAATAATGAGTAAATGATAAACTAAACCAGTTGCGTAATATCACATTAAAATACCGGTTTATACTTCAGAGATTTAACATAACTGCAGTGACTTATGCTGGGGTAAGTTAAAATGCTGGCTCAATTTACCTTAGCTGCCATTTTGGAAACAAACAAACAAATAAACAAACAAAAAAAACAGCTAGCTTACCAATTCAGGCTAATATTTAGCTAAATGGTTTGCATGGTTTTACATGTTGCTAAATCACCTATATGCATCATAAATATTGTAGACCTGGTTAAATGTGCTTCGATATAACAGCCATTACATCTGCTATGTTCAAATTTCACTTTGACATTCCACTTCTCCCATGTGTTTCTCCTTTTACCTGTATATTTATTCCGAAAAAAATATGTGGCTATTTGTTTGATGAATTTTGTGATTGGTGTATGATATATTATCCAATATTTTCATTGGTTGTTTGCAAGTTTGAATTTTGTCCTTGTTTGCATTTAAAGGAACCTATGTACACCTGCAATCTTTTAGCCCTGATGAAGGCCTGTGTGCCGAAACATAATTCCCTTTTTAATTACATTCTTTGTTTGCTCTAACCGCTTAACGTCACAGTGTCACTGGTATTGTCAATATAATTTCTCCTTTTCACAGTCTGGCAGAAATGATGGGTGCTTCCAAAATACATGGTCACATAAAAAGTGTATTGTTGCCAATATAGGCTACAGAGGGTGGGTCAACATACCCACTTGCTCAACTTACCCCACTCTCCCCTATATATATTTTTTTCTGATAATGTAAAATAAACTATACCTGACCATAGGTACATCCATCATGCACTTGACTGTTTTGTCATTTAAGAATATTTGAGATAACACGTTTTTTTATTGTTTCTGAGAGCCAACCCACTTTTCTGGATATTATAGATGACA